AGAAAATGTGTAAGTTTCGAACATTCCGAAATATTTAAATTTCCGTAATTTGAAAATTCCGGTCAATTTACCTATTTATAATATAATTATATAATCAAAGGAATTTTAGAAATTAAATTTCCGACAATATGGACAAATAAAAAGCAGAGCAAGTCAGAGGCAGAAAAAAGAGAAAAATTAGAAGAGAGAAAAACAGAGAAGAGAAAGAGTCAGAAGAAAGAAGATGCAGATGCGCGAAGAGGTAGGTGGAGTGTAGTGTAATGTAGTGTAGTGGAGTGTGGTGTAATGTAGTATATTGTAGTAATGCGAAGCGAAACGATATTTGAATTTCTAAAAGTGGTCTGAATTCTGGTGTTTTTATTATTTTGATTTTGAAATATATTTCGTGCTGCAACGACATCTATTTTTTCGATATCTTGATGTCTAAAAGTGGCGTAATTATGTGGTATTTTGTTTATGTTAATGTTCAAATGTGTTTTATATTATAATGACGTGTACTTTTTCGACATCTTAACTTCCAAAAATCGTTTGATACTGAGGTAAATTGTATATTTTAATTTAGAAATAAATTTTACACCATAATAACGTGTATTTTTTCGACACCTTAACTTTTTTCCAGCCATATGAGGTTCCGCACGGGATCAATCCAGCCAGAGTGTCAGAATAATGCATCCAACATCTGGCGACGTTATCATCGATACGTTGAATTAGGACAGGTCAACATGCAGGAGATTGTGAACTTTGAGCAGTCACAACAAAACGTCGAAGGAAGGTTTCCAATACAAAGCGACATGTTTCTTCTGAGTAGGATCTAACCACTCGCCAGGATTAGACCGGGAACACTGGAGCAGAAAGGCCAATACTTTATCAGGGAACACGAACTTCTTATGAAGATAGATGCTAGCCACGCGATTGAAACCAAATTCGGACAAATACAGCGATGATATTGCACGAATTAGGATACGATTTGCTTTCAAGAGTCTCACAACGAAAACTTGAAAACGTCTAGCTAACTTACCAAGGGTTAGTTCACTGTGAATCCACCCGGGCTGCCAACCATGGGTCGCAACAAAATCTAGACTTAGTTCTATCCATGAGACTCTTTCTTCAGCCGTGGCCCCCCTCACTGGGACAAACCAGTGAGGAGCAGAAAGGTAGCCAGCCAGAGTTCTTGCGGCAAGTTGGGAGATCCTGTTACGACCAGATGTGACAGACGAAAAGTCATGCAATCTTCCAACTGGCCCCAAGACCCTGGGAAGACTGCGCAACCTATGAAATTTGATGTAATGAATTGCGAGTGTTTGCCTAAGATTTTCAGGGATCGGGTTGCCACTGCTTAAAATGTCAAGGAAAGAAGTTTCTACTAAGCCAGGTTTGATCACCTCCGAAAAAACGCGGCACGCGCCTGTGCACGCTGAAATTTTTGACCGCACGCGACGTAGGGGTACACAAGAGCACGACATCGCAGTCCGTATACGGGGGGAATTGAAACGCTCCAGATCATCGTGCGCGAAATGTTCAATTCGTGACATCAGAGTAGTGACCAAATGAACTTGTAGCCCAACTGCCTGGGAAATGAGATCGCGAAAGCAAGAAATTTTAACTCGGAGTTTCTCTTTGGCGCAGGACTTGGCTAACGCATCTGCGCGGGAATTTCCTTCAGTTAGGTACTGGCATTGCTGCGCATGGTTAGACACGTGGGCTTTGACTTTTCGAAGTGAAAACGTCCCTTGCCGTCGAGCAAGGACCTGCCCCATCTTTTCCCATAAATCAGCATTGTCTAACTGACCCAGCACTGACGGTGAAAAATGACAACCCACCAAGCGGTTAAATCCATTCAAGACATTCATGCAATCGGTATATACTGTAAGATCACCCCTAAAAAAGGCCAAGCAATACAGAAGGGCATAAATCTCAGCTCTCTGAGAGCTTTGGTCACATCCCGGGAGAACCGCATTCCACTCATGAGAAGCTGACCAGAAAGCCGACGCAGCAGTCCGAAGTGGCTGCCATTTGTTTGCAAAGGCCGATCCATCTATAAAAACTGGATCAGAGGTACAAGCACAAAACATTTCAGGGGGTAGTACCGGTAAATCCTTTTGTTCTTGGGCCCATTCACGATAAATTTGGCTTCGGGGGAATATACCAGTACACCATGTAGAACGTTGAAAAACATCTGGCGGCCTGGTTTGGGCATAGAATGGACATTGCTTAAACAAATGTAAGTGGTCTTCACGTTCCCCACATGCAAAACATTTGTCGGACGCAGTTAACCCGGCCGCCTTGCACCTCACGGATGTAAAAATCTGTCCCGACCATAACTTTTGGAGGATTGCCCTAACTCTTTGAATATCTTTTGGGAAATCCCGCAAGAAAGGTTCGAGTAATTCCATGTCATCCTTAGTTGCAAATGACGAATCATGAAGAAATCGAGTCAGGAAAACGTCAATGGAATCCAGATCATCGAAAAAATCATGTCGCTCGGGCACCTGATTTAATAAGAAAATTCGACAGGCATGGTCCAGTTCTTCGACAAGGAAAGATTTGCTCCCTCCCTTGATACAGAAGCCATTGCCTTGCGGGGTAGTGGTTATGTAGAACGGCTCTTCTGAGTTCAATGTCCAGCCCAACGAGTTGCACACAAATGCCAGCACAGCAGCAAGACCATTATTGGTTTGCTCAACTGTTCTTTGGACAAGGGCCGCTTCTTTTAGTACCTTTGTGGCTAGTTCAGGGTGCGTCCACGCAAGCGCTCTGATTTTAACTAAAAGTTGCTTTGCCAAAGCAGCAAAAGGGTCAATAAAGACGTCCTCATATGTAGCAAGAAACAACCACGGGGACCTGATACGCTTCAGCCTGTTCGCAAAAATTTTTACCACATGTGTCCTAAGGCGTGCCAAGGCTCGCTTTGACGGAATTTGGAATTCAGTGCCATGCAACCATTGGGGGTGGGCATTGGTTTTGATGTGTAGAGCTTTTTGGGTGTTGCAAAGAGGTAGTTGCGCAATTTTCTGCAAAGTAGCTACTGCTTTGTTGGCCCTTTGATCTTGTGTCACAGCTGCCCTCTTTTTGTCTGCTCTGTGGACGTTGCCGAGGCTTTTGGCATTTGATTTGGACTTGTAGGTACGACCTACTTGGATGAGAAAGCGCCTTCTTTGTTTTTGGCGTCTACTTACAACAGTTGTTTTTTCCTCGCTGATAAGTTGTCCAGTAAGGCGATCGAATTCGACCGTTTCCGCCAAAGCTGACTGCAACATGCCAATGTTCTCACGTTTTGCCCAAACTTTCATATCATCGATGAATGTAGTTGCTTGAACTTGGGGACATATCTTATTAAGGTGCGCCATCAAAACTGAAAAAATGCCATTAACCATCAGGATAGACAAGGTACAACCTTGAAGCGCTGAAGACCCATGGATCAATCTTTTCCCAAAAGCTTTCCCCAATTTCATAATCCTAACCTGATTGGAGTAAAAACCTTGAATGGCCACGCCAATTGGAGGGGGTAAACCCAACGAATTTAGGGCAGACACCGCTACTGCAGGTACTATTCGATCGAAGCATTTTACTGTCAAGAAGGACCAACAATGGTTCAGTTTGGAAATCTCTTATATCCAAAGATAGTTGAGCTTCTGACTCAAACATGTGTCTTTCAGGTACCCCGCCTATAATGTTAGATGGGAAAACTCGCAATATCCAGGGGATTAAATGGCGAAATCGCAACCCACTCCAAACAGAATAAACACAGGAAGAAACACCAATACACCTCGTGTCTTTCGGGGATTTAATGTCTGTCCCTTTCCCGATAGCCGAAAGTGAGATAAATTTGAGAACCAATGGCCATTGGCCTGTTTCTTCTGCCAAAAGCATTGTCATAGTAAAACCAATCCAACCACTAGGGGGTAAATGCACAAGCTCATCCATGCCCCACGCATCCATTCCAGCAGCCCTGCTAGGGGATCTGGTTTGGGCAAATTCCCAAACTTGTTGGAAAGTGAGTTGGAGGATAACAACTGGCACTCATGTCTTCCATGGTTTGTGAATATTTCTCTTGGAAATTTTGGATCATAGAGGGTAAGTCTTCACGCTGATGAACATTATACACCTCTTCCATGTAGGAGGTCAGCATATCAAGCATTTTGTTTGTGGAGGATGTATATTGACCGTGCTCATCTTTAAAAGCTTTCGGCACTTGAGACAATCCGCCTCGAAGCCAGGAATGCACTTGTTTTTTGTCGGTTTTTGAAGAGATCTGAAGTTTCTTTTGCCACCGCCCAAGAGCCGCTTGCTGGCGGGCAGTGGCTGCACGTTCGGCATGCTCTTGCGCTGTTTGCACAAGAGTTTCAGCTACAGAAAGGAGATGGTCATAATCATGGACGGGTAATTCTGGCATCGGGAGCCCTGCTGTTTGACACTGCCTGCAAATTAAAGATTCAAGCAACTTAAACTGGTCTCGCAGAAGCAAGTCATGATTGTTTTCGGCCAACTGAACTTTTGTTAGCAATTCTTTACAACATCGAACAAGCTTCTGATCTTTACAGGGACTAGGCTTATCAGGAACCACATGAACACAAGAAAAAGTTGGGATCTCTCCTCGGCCAAAGTTTGTCTGCGTTTCTGACATGCAAATGGTATCAAGCATGGATGAAGCCAGGTGACACGCTATTTGCCAGAGCCTCTCGGCATTGTGACTTGCAGCCGCCGCGATAATGTCAGGTAGAAATTTCTGCAATACAGGAATACACAAGTTATCACGGGCAGCCCATTCTGCCTGATTATTAGGCTTTGCTGGGAGTTGCCACTTTTTCCTTAGGGGAACCACCGCGATATCTTCATGTAAGATTCCTAGATTCAAGGAAACTCGCAAAGGGCAGTGCCCGGGGAGAATGGAATCGCGCAAAATTTGAATGTCAGAAACTAGCTCCAAGCCTAGGTTATTAGCCAGGATATGGTCAATTCTTGTTCGGTAAGGACCAGGTAGCAAGGATTCCCACCCTTTTCTGGAAAAGGTAGCCTCTAGATCACGACCATGCACTGATTGGATTTGCGCATACGCATCAAACCAAGTACAGGAAACCATGGCTTGTGCCACTGCTGAAATCTGTTCTGGTTCTTCCTGGAAATCACCAACCACAAAACAAGGATAAGAGTTGAACCTTGACAGGAAGCAAAAAACAGATTCGCAAATGTCAGACCTCGTCTTTCTGACAGATCCAGCCGGCAAATACACATTACAAAAGATAAAGCCCTTCTGGGCTGTTCCAGCTGAGCACCAAAGCACCTGTACATGGTCTCGGATTACGGAAAAGTCGTCGGGTATTGAGATTTGCTGATATGGTATGTCTTTTCGGACAAGAGCTGCAACTCCGCCGTGTCCCTGTCTCAAAATTTTGGCAGAGCCCTTGACTCGAGAAAGAGCAGGTTGAGGACCCAAGGATAAATCAAATCCAGCCCTGAAGAAAGATTTCTGCAGGGACACAGCAGAACACTTCGGCACACGAGATTCTTGCAAGAACATCGCCGCAACTCCGTTGGAATCATATGTTGAGAAAGAAGCAATATGATCCTTGTACTTTGGACAAGAACTCACATTTGCAGAAATAAAGGAAAAAGCGCCAGTAGGCCCTTCCCCAGGAAACCCGAGACAAGGACTGTAGATATCGAAAAGTGGGCGAGAAGGGTAGGATTCCGAAAAAATCTGAAACAAAGGGATACCATCCATTTTGATTTTGACCTGTCTGCCGGTTGTGTCATTAGACATGGTTGGCTCAACGCACTGGGATATCAAAAGCGCCATAACGAAAAGGCCTCTGCTTACTTTCCACAAATGACCTCGCCATGAAGCACGAAAAGAAATTGTCACGAAAACAGCAGTTGAAAAGCCCCTGTGAGCCAAACATTTTCGAGAGCTTCTGTTCAACATGGGAAAGGGAAAGTAGCGACCAAGGAGGCGTATCCTTATCCAAAAGGCAACAAAGAGGCACCCGACAAAAAGAGAAAAACAGAAAGAAAAGGCGCATATCCCAGAAACCAGTGCGAACACAAATCCGGCCCGTGCAAAAAAGCCAACTAAATGAATTAAGGCAGAGAAGCTACTCATGGACATTAGAGATCTGAAGTCAAAACTTTCGCCGTGTGGCCAGTTCTGTTCAAAATTGAAGTAATCCCACCAAACAATTGCAAAGGGCACAACTTTGAGAAGGGACCGGTAGGAAAAGAACAGAACATGGAGATTGACATCGATGAAAAATATCAGAACTTTGCCACCTTTGGCGGAGGTGAGTGGATCGGGGTACTTGCACTACTGGCTGCTGTCATCATTCTTTCCTGCATGTCTTTCAACTCGTTGATAGCACACATCAAAGATGAGAATCCTCCTTCCTGAACTTGTTTGATCTGGCTGATGTCTTCGCGGGTCTCCGCCTGGGTTTTTTGCAACACCTTCACATCACTGCACACTCTGTTCATGCGATCTTCCAGGGCTTGCACTTTGCCAGCCAAACTGGATGCGAAAGGTGACATAAATGATCCTGGCGGCGAAGACTGGGCCGAAGATGGATTGGCCACTGGCGGCTTGGAAAAGGAGGACCGGGTAGAGACTTCCACTTTACGGTCACTGGAACCTGAGCTTGAGCTGAACTCGCTATTGGCTCTTGGCTTCCTAGGGGCTCTCTTCCCAATTTCTTCAACTTGAAGAAAGCCCAGGTTCGTGGGAATTCGGCAGGAAGTTGGCGAGGAGCTGCTTCCTACAATAGCAATAGCAAGTTCAGCCACATGAATGATACGGAGCGGAACGACATGCCAGCTAAGCGAGGCACATGTCTCCACAACTGTGGCCACAGTAGCTCCAGAAGGGAAGCCCTGGACCTTGAATCTCTTGGTGAGCTTCATGCTCATAGTGTGGGCATTGAAAATGCCACTGTTGCCGTAGATGAACTGTCGCGCCTCTCCCAGGTGCACATCTTGAATCCGAAGATAAAACACACTTTGGGCGCAGAATAGACCAAGAAATCCCTTGAGATGGACATATTTTTCGAAACCAGCCCTTGTATCGGGAGGACTATCCTCAATCTTGATGATCTCGAGGTCAGGCTCATCAGGGTCAAAAGGTCCACGCGCCTGTCGGAACGTGACCGAATTTTTTCCAGATTTGCTGTAGAGACGATCCCGATCAGAAACTGGAACCTGAAGTCTTTTCACCAAGTAGTTGCCTTTGTTCTGGCATCTATGGGCCACAAAGTCTCCGTCTTCACACTCGGATTTCAGAATTTCCGCAATGAACGCATCAAATTCTGATTCTTTGCTGAGGGCTTGCCAATCATGAGCATTCGAATCTGACTGCCGAATTTCAGCCCACAGGGCAATTTTTGGTGAGCATGAAATTTCAACGGTCATCTCCTGCTGAGCTCTGCGGATGTAGTTGCCATCGTCAAGAGCCATGTTGACTAGCGTCACTGCTCGGCTCTCATTGCGACCAAGAACTGGGTCATGAATTGTAATCACACATTCTTCGAGCCGGGATCCTTCCAACCCAAAAGACTCCAGCTTTCTTTTGTTGTAGCCCTTACAGATCAAGGCACATGTCTGGCTGGTTCGGGTAGCCGAGTTGTCTTTTATGGTGCCCAAATTTGCCAAGCTGATGCCTTGTGAACTGTCATGAAATCGCTCCATGGGGAAAACTTGCAAGGACTGAATGTCATCACCAGACACCAGCTCCAGTTCGGTGAGGAAAGGAATTTGGATGCCTGGCTTGGATGACTTCGACTCCCAAGCGGAGCGCTTGGACCCAGACTCCATGTGCGAAATACCGCTCGCAACGGCGCTCACAGGATGCGACAATGCAGTTGTGTGACAACATAAAAGGAAAACATGAAGAACAAAGATGACAAAACAAATGCACCTCATTGTAGGCTGAGGGGAAGTGGAAAGAACTGAAAAGGGCAATCAAGCAAAGGTGAATCTTGGTAAGGCAGCCCTACAACCCCTATAGCAGCCCCAACCACGTGCCGGTGTTCACCGCTGGTGGGTCGGAACCCACGCCAGTAGCTTCAGAGCCACGACGGCTTAACTTCTAAAAGTAATCCGAGAATAGTGTATTTTGTATATTTTGACTTGGAAATGTGCTTCGTGCCACAACGACGTGCATTTTTTAGATATCTTAATAACAAACCTAAAGGTGGAGGGGCAAACCAGAGCTCACACCCTTTTGCGCCACAAATGGGGCTATGCGGTAAAACGGGCCAGTGACACTGCAGGGTGTGGTCAAGTGACAGCCATGACTCCTCATCCCTTATGGCTATGTGGAGATTCCATTTCACAGCTGCCACAATTTTCTCTTGACCACACCAACCTGCCTAGCACCTCGGAGAAATACTCCATCTCCAGTGCCTCCTCATCCTGCAAGAGCTTCTCACTAGACTGCCTGGTGCGAGATCTCGCCATAGGATCGCTGCGGCCTCGAATGAGCTCGTTCTCCTCCTTGTCGATGCGCAGATACCCATGTTTGAGTATGTGCAACAGAGCTCCATTGCCCTTCGTAATGTCGGCCTTGGTCATGACGTCCACGGGCATTCGAGGGTGAGGGGTCCAACGGACTTGGGACCCCGTCTTGATCATGAGGTCGATGATGACCGCCAGTTCCAAGGCGGTCCTCCTGTCCTGTCTCGAGGAAGGACATTGCTTGTACAGCGCGTCATAGAGCGATTTCGCGTCCGTGATCTGACACTGCTGCTGCCGGCACGTCAGCTCACACTCCTCCGGGAGCATCACGACAAATGGCGCAATGCTGCGCCTCCAGTCGAAGACCTTGACGTCGTTGAAGACCAGGTCCCGGTAGAATACCTGTAGCCACTCCACCTCTCCCAAGCACTGAAATAACAACATAGTTTCGCTCGCCATTGTGCTTATCACCCGCCGTTTGAGCTTGGAACTTCTCCATGAGAGGACACTGATCGGAATCCTCTGGTCGTGTGCCGGGAGCAAGTTCGATGCCAGAACCATCCACGCTCCCTGTACCGGATCCTCAGGGAGCCCTTTCTCGTCTCGAGATCGGATCTCCCCGTCCACTCCTCCAGCGTCGCTGACTCCGATGAACGTCATCTCGTTCGGCTTAAACTTCTTGAAGCGCAACCCCTGGGCTGAGGTGCTGCGTAAATGCCCAATCATCTTGTTGAGGTCCACCACATCGCGGATGCGAGCGCTGTGTAATCTGCTGGATAGGATGGAGACCGTCCCTGCAGCTTCAGGTCGCGTCTGATGTGCGACCCAACTCACACGGTACAACATGGATCTGAAGGCTTTGAATTCCTCCTCTGTCAAGGGCTCGTCCTTGTTGCCTCTTCTTCCTTTCGAGAGAGGTATCGCCTCCAACTTCTCCAGAATATACTTCTCTTGGTCCATCCGCACCTCTGTCTGCATCTTCTTGTACCTCCTTCCGATGAAGTCAGCCTCGCCGCTCTCCCATTTACCAAACAGGAAACGGTTCTGAAGCTTCTCCTTGAGCTCCTTCTGAATGGCCTCATTCTTCGTGGCGATGAGAAAGTCGTCTACCTCTATCAAGACCAGGGCCTCTATCTTCCCCTCAGCATCGTGCTTCACATGCACGCATGGATCCAAGAGAGATCTTCGGAGCCCGATCTTCTTGAGGAAGGTGGTCACCGTCTCGAACCAACGTAGTGGTGCATCATCCAAACCGTATACTGGCACGATCAGCTCGATGAGGTCCTGCTCTTCAATGGGTACCCCCTCACACGGTGCGACAAAGAGGCGTCCTTGAGGTCGACGAAGCTTGTCCGACTGGGCAAAGGCTGCTTTGACATCTGCAAAGAGCAGCAACAGGTCTTCGTTACTGATGACCTGTGCGACCAAATTCAATGCCTCAGCCGATGGGGTGGGAGCAAAGGTCTTGAAGGTGCCACTGTCAGGGTCCTTGTGGCCATGGACACAAAAGCGCGACTTGGCCTTATACTCATGTAGCCCTGGCATGGGTTTCTTCCTCCTTACCATTCTGCTCGAGAGGATTCTGTCTGAGTACTTCTCTCGAAGCTCCCGAGCCTTCTCTCCTCTCCATATCTTCACCGCCTTGAACTCCTTCTCGAGGCTCTCCCATTCCTTCATGTCCGCCTGCTGGACTTGTATCCTCTCTTCTGGAGTCATCTGACTCCAGGTGATCTCTCCGTTTCGCGCCGGCTCTCCTGCCCATACCTCAACTCCTTCTTTGGCGTTCTCTGACATTCCTAGCAAAAAGAGGTTGCTCTTCTCCAATTGCTCGGGATCTCCTGACTTGGAGTTGTAGAAGACACAGCTGGCCTTGTAGTCTCCCTTCAAGCCCTCCATCTCGTCCACGAATCCATCGAATGGCCTAAGGCCTAAAGGCCACAAAGGAAGCCTCGTGCGGGTCGATGTCGTCTCTTGGAGTAGCCATCTGCCTCCGCAGTACTTCAGGAAGGGGAGATCGCGACCTTCTCCTTCTCCTCTCGATCTCTTCTATCTCTTGTACACGTTGTTGAACGACACCATCTCTTCTCTCACGTCCATTCCCTTCTCGCACCTCTGCAATCGGCATCTGGGGCAGTTGATCAAAACTTCCGCGAGCGGAGGGATCTCTTCCTTCTGGAATAGTTTCGAGCTCTCCCATACGCCGTCTCTTCGCTTCCGAATCTTCGGATCTGACAGATAGCTGTCCTCCAGCCGGTTCAGAAAATGGCTCTGAAACTGTGTCAAGTGACATTCTCCGCGTCGGTGGAGTCAGGGTGCCGCCTGTTGGAGGTGGTGTCGCAGGTGCCCGAGCGTGTCCGATGCTCCTCAAAGGGTGTCCAACTCCAGGATTACGTCCGAGATCGGCTTGATGAGGTACTGCAGAAGGTTGAACTTCAAGAGAACCAGGAGGACCTCGACCTCCGGAAGCTTCACCTCCATCGCTGGGTTCCCCAGCAGACACTGCTGAAGCTCTCTCAGGTTGTTGGGCAGGACCCCTCCACGCATGGTCTGGGGGAATCCCTTCACGTTCCACATCCACAGCTCCAGTCCTCTGGCCTTGCATTTGTTTCAGCAGATCCTTGTACTGCCTGGACTCGATGACTTGCATGGCCATCTCTTCAGGCTGCGTGGCAGGTCGGAGCTGATCCGTGTTGCATTTCCACAGTCTGCTCCTCATGGCCACGTATACCGTGTGCCCATTTTGAAGAATCACCAATCCTGGCCCGACCCATCTAGCTCTTTCTCCTCCTCGAGCTGTTCGCCAGACCAAAACCCATTGTCCAGCTGCCCAAGTTCGGTGCTTGTGTAAGGGAGGTCGAGAGGCCTCTCTCATCTTTTCTCTGCTAACGTGCTGCACAGCTAGCTTCTTGGCGTGCTCTCTGATGTTGTGGCTGCATCTGAACTCGAATGCCGGGGTGTCCATCTCACTGGGGTCACAAAGGATGTCGTCCCAGCCGGGAGTGTGTCGGCTTGCATCGGAGAGCAGCTCTGCAGGTAGTCTGGGATTCCGGCCATAGACCAGTTGAGCTGGACTGTATCCTCCTCTTGAAAACCAGCAATTCTTGCACGCGACCAGTTCGATGATGAGAGCCTCGAGATCCTCTAGGGTTTCAATGACTTGACTTCCAGCTGCCAGCTCGAGGTCCACTCGATCCTTCACCCACTGTCCGTGTCTTTCAGCTCGACCATTCCCCTCTGAACTCCATGCCGCCGTCAGTGATCGCTGCCTCAGGAGCTCCATGGGGACGGATCCAATGAGAAAGGAAGCACTTCCATACCTCCACTGCGGAAGGGTTGCCACCGCTTGGATCCCGCCCTTGTCCGGCCTGACCAGGGACACCATCTGGAAGTTTGATCCGTAATCGATCACGTTGAGGAAGGGGATTTTGCGCCCCCCCCATTTCACATAAAAGACATCCAGGCCCACTATCTTGTTGAACTCGAACGTCCTCGGAAATGCTGCTCTTCTCCTGCCAACCTCACGGCGCTGCCGCATGCAGACGTCGCACGCCATCTCGTCCCGCACATACTGCATGACCTTTGGCTTAGCGTTCGCGGCTTTTAACATCATCAACATACGGTCGGTGGGCAGATGGCCGAGGTTGACATGAAGTCTCATCACCATCTCCTTCTCGTCCTTGGACAGTGGTCTCTCTTCTTCTGAGTGCCCTTCTGGAACGATGCGCTCCTGTCCGAACTCGTCCTCGGCAGAGGCCTCCTCATCGTCGTCCGTCTCCTCCTCGTCCTTCTCCGCCACATAGATCCCCGACCACCTGAGGTGTAGCATCAGCCCTTCAATCACCTTTGCCACAAGGCCCTCTGGCCAAATCTGAGCCAGACGAGATAGTCCGTTCTCCAATCTCACATGCTCATGCCCTTTGTTGCACTGGACCTCTGCCATCGTCACAGCGATGCCCTCGTGGTTCAGCATGAAAGATGTCCTCTTCTGGGAAATGCCCTCCTCCGATACTTGAAGGCCCACCATGCACTGGTCGAACGACAACGGCAGTACGTCATTCTGTCGCTGTAGCCATCGAGCAGCATGCGTGTTCCACGAAGAGGCCTTGTCCGGCTGTTCAATGACGAAGTACTTCCCCCTTCTCAGTCTGTGCTCAGCCACCTGAATGCAGAAATGAAACATGGCCATGGCTGAAGTCTGTAACCTCTCTGCCAGTTCACCTGCATGAGAGTGCTGAATCCTCTGCACTCTGGGGTCATTAGTACCAGGTCTGGATCTTCTGCCTCTAGGGTGTCCCAGAAGAGCTTCCGGTCCTTGGCGTCGAAGAAATCCCATCCCTCCTGCAGATCGAAGGCCGCGGGCTCGGTCGTCTGTAGGGATGGGTAGGCACCGGTCTTGATCTCCTTCGTCACTCGCTCCGGAGAGAAAAATTCCATCACCTTGAACTTGCAATCCAACTAATTAATCTTATGACGGATAAGGCAAGCAGAGCCGCAGCAATGCAACACAACATAATGGCCAGCTCTAACCAGTGCCCTCCAGCAGTACTTCTCGCCACAGAAGCCAAGGCAGAACTCAACGCCGGCTTGATCATTGTGACAGGGCATATCCCGATCGAGGCAGCTGATGTGGAAATGGACCAAGCAACCCCGGAAGCATGCATGCCACCGGCCACTGCCCAAAGCTCCTCTCCGAGTGATGCACCCGCCCCGAAGGCACAAAGAATAGCCCACCCTGCCAACCGCAGAACAGCAGATGATTGGGTCACCGCACTCCAAGAAAGCCGAGCCAGTTTCCTAGCGACAACCGCTGTGCCAGAAGACCCCGCGGAAGCGATGAGAGGCGGGCTACTGCTCACCCCCTTACTAGGATGTAAGGCTAGAACCCCGCTTGACTGGACACATGCATGGGCAATGTTGGGCGAATGGGCGGGAGCCATTGCCTTCCCCATCCCGGAGCAAGGAAAATGGCCACGTCATGGAGATGGCCGATACCTTAGACCGGACTTTGTCGAGCGGACACCGCCATTCCTTACCTGGGCGCGCCCCATTTTCGAGCAAGGTGCACTCTCCCCTATGTCAGTTTTCCCAGCCGACTTCCCCATACTTTGTCTTCCAGGAGACAAATTGTTCCAAAGCAAGGAGTTAACCATAGGGTATAGCCTGCCACCAATTGTGCACGCCTTCCATGGGAGTAAAGTAGGCCTAGGACACCAACTCCAACAGTGGCTAAGCAAAGGTCTGCAACCGCTAGCTGTGTCGCTCATAGGAGTCGATGAGGCACCACCGTTATGGACACACCCCACAGGCTGCGACTTTGTTAGAGGGAGTAAACTAGTCGCCAAGCAGCATGTCCCACAAAACAGAAGCCTTACTCCGACGCAGGTGTTGCTTCTCCAGAGCCTTTGGACGCCAGTTGAAGCCCCCAACAGCAGCAATGACCATACTCCTTGGCCCAAAGCTTGCGAGCCTGCCATTGTCTTCTGCGGTCAGCATGCGAGCCTTCAGCTCCCCACTGCCCCAATCCTCCCTCTGCTGGAAGCGCTGCAACGACGACTGAAAATTGACCCTAGCAACGCAGAACTAGCCATCAATGAAGTGCTTGCCAGCCATACAGACCCCAAATACACTGACTGGAAACTCACTGTCATGGATAATACCTCCTGGCAACTCAATGACGCTGACCCAGGGTCCCTGGAAGTTCAGTGCACTGGGTTGGGTGGAGGAGAACTTGATGAAGATTGGGACGTACTGCTAGCTTGCAAAAAAGAAGCACATGTGTATGGGCCATCCCTTAGCAAACAGGACGATTGGAATGCAAGAGCTGGCACAGTAGCAGGCACTGCCCACACACAAGAATACTTGCTACTGCACATCGCCATGTTTCCCATCGGGGCACACATCTGGTGCCGTGTTTTAGGAATGCCCAGTGCGAACCAATTGCAAGCGCAGATCATCAGTCGAGCCATGAAACTGCTGCGCTTCTGCCCTATCACTCCAGCGCATAGAAAACCGCCATGGCCGGGGTACACGCATGGCCTGAGACTTTTTACTAAACTACTAGTTGCGCATCCGTTGGTCGGAGTCTGCCTGCCCCCTGAAATCCGTCCAGTGGACTACCTCAGATTGACAGGATACATGATAGGCTCTTTCTACATTCGAGGGCACAGCGCTGGCTCGTATGCAGGAATGGTATGGGAAACCATCCTCTCAGAGTTCCCAGATGTTGGTGGCAAAACTGTGCTAGCAGCCATTGCGCTGCCACCATCGCTGCTAACGACATACAACTTATCTCAGCTGAGAGAGATCCACCTCATTCACCATGCAGATGACAGGCTTTGCGTATGGAACCCGTCGAACCATGACATTAAATTGCTTAGGCAACGGGGCTTTACAATTACGCATATCACAGGATGGAGAGCGTACCTCGGCACTGCACAACACAACTACTCGCATTGGACACGAGTTGCCCTCCCAGAAGGACGACCGGATATGGAGCAGTTAGAAGGTATCCCTGGAGTGCTCCCCTTCGAAGTGTACTCACAAGCTCCCCTCCGTCTGATCTCATGGTGCAGTTTTGAGCTCCCAAGAACTGCCAGAAAACTCCTGCGCGAATTAGCGGAAATGTGCGAGCTACCGGAAACCACGACACAGGCACTTGTTACCCACATTGCTGCCCATAACGCAGAGATCAAAACTGAGCAAGAGGCAACCCAATACTTAGCCACGTTGGCAACAGTTACCATCTCCTCAAGGGCCAAGTTGCTCAACTATACCACCATGGTACAACATTTCCTTGGTACCCTACAATTGCCCATGGCTGTATACATGTTAGACTACTACCTGCCCATGCTTAGCCCTAATGAAGGCTATAATGAAACAGGGTTAACAATGCAAAG